AGTACATACTTCTATTTGGATTTATTTGCGGGGATTCCCAGGGGCTTGTCACAGAAATTCTAAAGTTTAAATTGAGTCTTTGTGATTGACAGTGAAAGTCTAGGTCTTATTCAAAGGTGTCTGTGACTTCCAGTTTTCAGCAGTTGTGGTCACCCTGGGCTTTTTTAGATTATCTCTAAATTCCATGGCTCTGACACATTTTTTTTGAAAAAAGGCCCAAATCCTCTGAACTTCTCTCTGCCCTGCAGTCATGTTGCTGTAAGACACACTGTCTTTTCGTATTAGAATGGAAATTTTAATTAAAAGAAGAAGCTGAGAATGGAACTGTGGTACCTTTTTAAGATAATAGTTGCTATTTTTAGACTGACTTAAAAAGGGCTGAAAAATAGTGATGCTTTCATCTTCCAGTAGCGTTAGCCTGAGGAGGTGGACTTTCTAAAATATCTAGTTACTAACTGGTTACTCCAGCTACATTTTTGCAAATACTATTAAAGGTATTTTAAAAATATATGTTATAATAAGTAACTGATTAAGCTGCCTCTTTCCATTATACAATAAACACAGCAGCTTACTAAACAAAAATAGATTTTCCATATTAAAACTTGGTTAGAACAATGGCACATTCCTGGGCTCAGGATTCCAAAGTGAGTATTGATTCAAAGCAGATGCATGCTGGGATCGAGGGTAAGACAGTCCTGTCCTCCTGCCCTGGCCTTGCCGGATAATGTGCAGCAATACTTTGCTGCATTTACTGAGCAAGGAGACTGTAGAAATACATAGACTTTTACCAACTATGTCCACACTTTGGCACTCAAGAGAAACTCCCAGAGTCATCATCATGCTTCTTTAATATAAAAGGTAGACCGAATCCCTCTAGCGGATGTTTGTCTGGTTTGTTCTCTTCTACTCGCATACCTTTCCAGGCTGGGTTTTATACCTGGTATTGCGTATGTCAGTCGCTTCCACAGTTCACATCTGGTGGTCCCTACTTATGTCAGAATTACTGCAGATAAACAGTGTAAAGGATATCAGGAAACTATTATGAGTTAATATGCTTACAAAGGTCATCCTGTAGCCAAAGCAAAGACATCAATGGAGATGCTGGGGAGAGAGGGGGGAGAGGACCACAACCACTTCCACCCAAATGATGCTGGGGTACCCCCACAGGGCTCACTTTCAGATCTTGTCAGTAAAATATTCCATGGTTAGCAGCATGGATTTGTTGTCAGGAAGCGTTTTTCTGCTTGTGTGTGTGTGTACATAAATACATACGTGTATGTATATATGTGTGTGTGTATATATATATGTGTGTGTGTGTGTATATATATATAATAACGACATTCTGATCTCTGTTTCAGAACTAAGCTATTTTATTTTATTTATTTTTTTATCCTCACCCGAGGACAATTTTGCATTTATCTTCAGATAGAACGGGAAGGAAAGAGGGAGGAAGAGAGAGAGAAACATCGACATGAGAGACATATCGACTAGTCGCCACCCACACAAACCCAACCGGCTCGGGGACAAACTGCAACCGAGGTACATGCCCTTAGCGGAGACTGAACCCGGGTCTCTGGTCCAAGGGCTGATGCCATTCACTGAGCCAAACCAGCCCAGGCAGAACTAAGTTATTTTCAAAGTTCACCAAGGAAGAATCATTTCTCCAAAACCAATACAGGGATTCTACCCTGTTGCTTGGTATTCCTGTTTACAGACAAGATGACCACCCTGCCTCAGATTTTCTGACTCTTTTTCTGAAGTTTTGTGAATGAAATAGAGAATGTCTACCTGGGGATTTCCTTGGGTTTTCTGTTGTTGTTTTTTTCATATTCATAACAAAGTGACGAAAGATAAAACTCTAGGCAGTTGAAAGAGTTAAGAACATTTTGTGTTGGTCCCATCAGAGGGACAGATGGAATGCGCGTAGGTGGGGAAGCTATTTCCATGGAGGAGGGCAGGGGGTTTTCAGGGTAGCTGGGCACTTACTGTGTTGGGGGCTAGATTATGTGTTTACTGGTGGAGACAGTAGAAGCGGAAGCCAAGTGGAGCATATGGGCAGGAAGGGAGTAGCAGACCTCCAACAAAGGGGAAGAGGGAGGCAGCTGAAACGGCCGAGGGTGATGGGAGAGAGTGCACTCGGTGGGTTGAGGTCCCCGAAGGCCTTGAGAAACTAAAACACGTCAGGCAATAAGGAAATTCGTCCGGGAAGATTGATAGTGTTACCTTGGTTTGGGAAGTGTTTACGTAGGAATGGGGAAGAGAATAAAGGAAGCCTCTCTTAGTGACCACCTCGGGCTTTTGCCAGCACGAATATGAGTCAGTGAGTCAAGGAAGTGAAAACCAGGTTAAGCCTCCAAGTCACAGAGGCAGGAAACCAATAAAGGACTCGAGATGCTAAAAACCAGTAGGAGATGTTATCATCGATCAGATAGAAAGAGGGATGAGCTACCCCGGTGTATCTCTTTAGGCCTTACATTTGAACGTTTCTGTTTTTCTTTTTCTTTTCCTTTTTTAGCTTTTGGGGTCAGTGAAACAAAACAAAAAACAAACAAACAAAAGGTTGCCTTGGTTATGTTGGAACGAGGCCCTTTCCCTGTTGTGTTCTTGGCTCAGTGTGGCAAGCTTGCCAAATCACCCACAGGCTACACCATCTCTTCCTGGGGCAGTGGGTGGGTGTTGCCTCATATGGACCCTTGATTGTCCTAGAGATTCATGAGTAATATTTATCTAGGGAACTTCCAAGTGCTAGATGAATGTATGATGGCAATGCCAGTCTAACACTCCCTGGTATCTGTGGGTGACTTTAGGGTTGATGCACGTTCTTGTTTGATCTTTAAAACCCACTGTGCAATGTGTCAACAACTGCCCCTTCTTGAAGGCATGTGATAAACAAAAATATATATTAGAGAAACACGCCCTGGTCAGTTTGGCTCAGCGGTTAGGGCATCGGCCTGCGGACCAGAGAGTACCAGGTTCGGTTCCCTGTAAGGGCACGTACCTCGGTTGCAGTTTGTCCCCGACCCCCGGGTCATGTGGGTGGCAGCCACTCGATGTGTCTCTCTCACGTCGATGTTTCTCTCTCTCTCTCTTTCTCCTTCCTACTCTATCTGAAGATGAATGCAAAAATGTCCTCGGATGAGGATAAAAAAAAGAAGAAACATATTTGTGAGTTTATATTATTGATTATTTAGGAGAAAAGCAATGCAGCAAAATGCAACATAGCACACACACACACAAAGCAAAGCAGAAAGAGGGTGCCAGGCTTACTGCTTTTTAGAGTGTATACTAAAAATGAACATCACAGAGAGTTCTAGAAAGGTCTGTTTAGATCAGTGGTTCATATTCCAATGTAGTTCATGAACCCCATTGAGAATCAGATTCCCTCATGTCCCCCTCCTTCTAAAAAAAACAAAAGTAGCCCTGGCCGGTTTGGCTCAGTGGTTAGAGCATCGGCCTGCGGTCCGGAGAGACCCGGGTTCGGTTCCCGCTAAGGGCATGTACCTCGGTTGCAGTTTGTCCCCGGCCCTTGTTGGTCGTGCGAGTGGCAGCCACTCGATGTGTCCCTTTCACATCGATGTTTCTCTCTCTCTCTCTTCCTCTCCCTCCCACTCTAGCTGTACAAAAACTGGAAAAGTGTCCTCGGGTGAGGATAAAAAAAAAACAAAAACAAAAGTACACACACACATACACACACACACACACTCAGAGGGCCATCCAGGCAACATAAATCTGTGACCCTGGCCACGTGCCGGTGCCGGTGATAAAGAATGGTGGTTCCGGCCTGGCAGGTGTGCGCAGTGGACTGAGCGCCGTCCCATGGACTAATTGGTCCCAGTTCGATTCTTGGTCAGGGCACATGCCTGGGTTGTGGGCTCGATCCCCAGTAGGGGTGTGCAGGAGACAGCCCATCGATGTTTCTCTCTCACATTGATGTTTCTCCCTCTCTCTAAAAAATCACTAAAAACATATTAAAAAGAAAAAAATGATGATGCCTGTGTCTGACTAAAAAGGAATACCCAGTTAAGAGAATGGCAAGGTTTGTGACAAATTAGGGTTCACATCCTTACCTAAAGTAAATTCAAATTCTAAACCATTTTTAAAAAATAGCACCTGCTATGTTATTAATAACCAAGATATGGAGGCAGCCCAAATGCTCATCAGGAAAGGAATGGATAAAGATGCGATGTGTGTGTATATATATATGGCACATTAGCCATAAAAAAAGAATGAAATGTTACTATTTGTAACAACATGAATGGACGTAGAGGATGTTATGCTAAGTGAAATAAGTTGGACAGAGAAAGACAAATACCATATGATTTCACTTATATGTGGAATCTAAGGAGCAAAATACATGAACAAACAAAATAGAAACAGACTTATAGATACAGAGAACAGACTGATAGTTGCCAGAAGGGAAGAGGATTAGGACGATGGTTGAACAGGGTGAAGGGATTAAGGAGTACAGATTGGTAGTTACATAGCCCTGGCCAGGTAGCTCAGTTGGTTAGAGCATCATCATGATACACCAAGGTTGCTAATTCAGTCCCTGGTCAGGGCACATATAAGAGTCAACCAATGAATGCATAGGTAAGTGGAGCAACAAATCGATGTTTCTCTCTCTCCCTTCTTCTTGCTCTCTAAATCAATCCATAAAAAAATAAAGATGCAAATTGATAGTTACAAAATAGTTACGAGGATGTCAAGTACAGCATAGGAAATATAGTCGATAATATTGTAACACCTATGTCCGGTGCCAAGTGAGTATGAAATATTGGGAGGGCACACTTTGTAAAATATAAGATTGTCTAACCAATATGCAGTACACTGGAAACTCATACAAAATAATATTGACTGTAAACTGTAATTTAAAAAAGAAACAGCCCCTGCTAAATACAGCGCATTTGAGGTAAATGTGAGCCCAGACCATTCAGTTTGCAATTCTAGGCTTTTATTTGGTCTTTGTAAACACGGGGATATTCTCGTTTTTTCGCCCCCAGGCACGACAACAAGCTCAAGTACGTCACCAAATGGCAGAGGACAGCAAAGCAGACTACTCCTCGAATCTTCAGAAATTCAACCTTGAGCAGCGCGAGTATTACCACACTCACATTCCCAACATATTTAAAGTAAGTGGTTCAATCCTCCGATTTGCCTTTTTAAGTAACGTGGCTTTGGGATCCTGATCACTGGTTACGTTCTAACAATTCTAAATTTTCTCTAACTCAAATCATTTTGTGCAGCATTCAGATCAAGCATTGGCTGGCAGTAAAATAAAATATGCTGTTAATCTCAAGATTAATCAACAGCCTTGGCAGACTTCTTTGGTTTGCCCCTGTAGTCCCAGAACTGTGATTCTCAGATTAACGCTCTCTTTGCCGAAAGGACCATTCTGGTTACAGGAAAAAAAGCCAATTTATCTTTAGGAACCAGAGCAGCATTCCTAGGGGGAGGATTTGAACAGATGACAATTTTTGAATTGTTTTTCTTATGGCTTCTTTATGTTTTCAAAGATATGAGAAAAGCCCTAGCCGGTTTGAGCAATGGTTAGAGCATTGGCCTTCGGACCAATGGGTCTCGGGTTCAGTTGTAGAAAAAGTAATAAATGGCCCTGAGCAGTGGTTAGAGTGTTGGCCTGAGGACCAAAGGGTCTTGGGTTCGATTCTCGCTCAAGGGCATGTACCTGGGCTACAGGTTTGATCCCTGGTCCCAGTCGGGGTTGTGTGGGAGGCAGCCAATCTATGTGTCTGTTTCACATTTGTGTTTCTCTCTTCCTCTCTCTCTCCTTTCCACTCTATCTAAAAATCAATGGAAAAATATCCTTGGGTGAGAATTAACAACAGCAGCAAATAATAATAATAATAAATATTTACTTCATAATGTCTATACACAGCTAACAAGAGACTGCACCTTGTAGAAGGAAGGTGCGTTAGTTACATCCCAACCCAGGTTGGGTTGAAACAGTTAACCAAATACTGTGATTTGGTGAAAGGTCAAGTAGTGGGTCAAAGATGAAGGAAATGTTTGAAATCTAATACCAAATGGTGTTAATAATAAAATTAATTGAATTGGGGATTCTCGCTGAAATTGCAGTGGAATTGTGTAGTTCCATTTGGGCAGCCTAACAATTCATGAAATGTGTGTACGGCTGGTTCATGCAGAGGCACAATAAACGTACGGTTGCGCACTGGCCGATTTGGCTCAGTGGTTAGAACATCGGCCTGTGGACCAGGGAGACCCGGGTTTGGTTCCTGCTAAGGGCACGTACCTCGATTGCCGTTTGTCCCCGGTCCCTGTTGGGGTCATGTGGGTGGCAGCTAGTTGATGTGTCTCTCTCACATCGATGTTTCTATCTCTCTCTTCCTCCCTCTCTCCCTCCCGCTCTATCTGAATATAAGTGCAAAAATGTCCTCAGGTGGGGATTAACAAAACAAAACAAAATAAAAAGTACGGTTGCTCTAACCCTAACCCTTTTGATAGGCCTGTTTCCTTATGAGACAGTTAATTCATGGTCGCCATGCTGCTGAAAACAGCATCATTTAATAACCACCATGGGCCAGATTAACTTTATACAAAATCGACTGTTACAGAAAATACAAGAGATGGAGGAGAGGAGAATAGTGCGACTTGGAGAATCGATGAAGACCTATGCCGAGGTCGACCGGCAGGTGATTCCAATCATTGGGAAGTGCTTGGATGGAATAGTCAAGGCGGCCGAGTCCATTGATCAGAACACTGTAAGTATTGTAGTTTGGACTGAATTTGCAACTGTTTGTGGTCCCATTATTTCTCCGCCCCCTCCCACGGTGACTTCATTCAGTCTTCTTGTGACAGGTCATTGCTTTCATTGGTCAAGAGTACTTTTCAGCGGTAGCTGCTTCCGTGCTGTCTGAGTTTTTACACGTTATGAGCACCTGTTCCATTTTCTCTTCTCCATTGACTCATCATTTCTGTATATCTCTGCATCTTCAGTTTGGTCAAAGGCTTTTGGTGGTTATTTATGCCTGGCTCATAAAAGGAAACCAAGAGTCTCAGGGAAGTCTTCTCTGATCACCCTATTTAAAATGTCAGTAGTCACCAGAAGTTACTGTAAGGAGTGGCCTTTTAAAGAGAAGTAGTAATGGTGGGGTTTATAAGTTAAGCGCTTCAAAAGTGTTGCCTCTTTGTGAATCTTTTTTCTTTTTTTTAGCTTCCTTGACTTCTAGCATTGATTAAAATCTGAAACAAGCCCACTTTTAATTCCTTATTTTTTTAAATTGATTTGAGAGAGAGAGAGAAACATCAATCTGCTGCCTCGTGCACGCCCCCTGTGGATCGAACCCCAAACTGGGAATGTGTCCTGACCAGGAATCAAACCAACGACCTTTTTGGTGCACGGGATGATGCTCAACCACTGAGCCACATCGGCCGGGCTAAGGCCTGATTTTAATTTCTTATATTAGAAGCTTAGAGATTTCTTTTTCCTTGAAAATTTACAATTTCACAAGATTATGTCAGAATGGTTTCTCTTTTATCAGTTTTATCTGGGCAAGTTGTGAGCCCCTTAGATTTATAGGCTTTTATCCCATATGGAAGCTTTGTTTTCCATTGTATCACTGATCATTCTTTGTTTTAATCCTCACCCGAGGATATTTTTCCATTTATTTTCAGACAGAGTGGGAGGAAGAAAGGGAAAGAGAGATGGAAGCTTTGTTTTCCATTATATCACTGATCATTCTTTGTTTTAATCCTCACCCGAGGATATTTTTCCATTTATTTTCAGACAGAGTGGGAGGAAGAAAGGGAAAGAGAAAGAGAGAAACATCGATTTGAGAGAGACACATTGACTGGTTGCCTCCTGCACAACCCCGACCAGGGCTGAGGACGAACCACAACTGGGGTACGTGCCCTTGACCGGAATGGAACCCGTAATTCATTGGTCCATGGGCCGACGCTCTAACCGCTGAACCAAACTGGCCACGGCACTGATTATTCTTTTTCATCATAATCTGGATGTTGCTAATTCCAAGGGTATATTCTAAGTCTTCATTCAGATTCTTGAACTGTCAGCAGCCTTGGCCCCACTTCCCTGCTCCTCCTGACTTGGTTCCTCTGAACCCACACTGTGATGGCTTTTGTCCTCGACGCTGGTCTCAATCTCTTTTGCTTGTTTGTCTTCTTATCATTTAACTTTGGGCTCCTCCAGAGCTTCGATCGTAGACTTCTCTACTCCACAGCCAGTCCTGTGAGTGATCTGTAGACTCTCAGCACATCAGGTCCCATCTCAGGTCTGACTCACACATTTTACATTTACACTCTGCCTTGTACTCCAGGTTCATATATGCACCTGCCAGCTGGCTTGTCCACTTGGATGTCTAGTAGGTACCTCAAACTTAGCATATCCCAAACTGAGCTCCTGACCTTTCTCACCAAACCTGCTCCTCCCATAGTCTTCACTGTTGGTTACGGGCATTTCCATCCTTCCAGGATCTGGGAGTCAGACTTGGTATTCCCCTGTTCTCACAGCCCTATCAGTTTCATCAGCCAATCCTGTTGGCTTTACCTTCAAAATACATTCAGAACCCAAACAGTTCTTACCACCCCTCCCGTTACTCACCTGATCCAAGATCTCCATCATCTTGGATTATGCAGGAGGAGTCTGACTGCAGGAGACATCTAACTAGTCTCTCCCCCTGTGCCCGCTGCGCCCCAGCAGAGACCGGGGATCCTTTTGCAATTAGTCAGATCATGCCTCACCACTTCTCAGAGCCTCCGTGGGCTTCCACCTCACTCCGCGGAGAAGAAGTCAGTCATCTGGAGTCTGCAAGCCCTAAGCCTTCTGGAACACCCCACACTCCCTCCCCATTTATCGTTTTGATGTCATATATTCTCGATTCTCCCATCGCTCCTGCCACAGTGCATCCTTGGCATTCCTGGGGCGCTCCAAACATGTTCCCACCGTTGCTGCTTCCTGCAGACATCAGCAAGCCTCACTCCCTCCTCCGGGTCCTTACGTGAATGCCTGAACCTGTTGCTCTGTTCTGTCTTCCGTGAGAATTCAGAGGTCAGATCTTTCTTCACCCATAAAGGTTATCTTTCCTTGCATGTCCTGTCCCTCTTTCCAAATATCCCTGCTATATTTTCTAGGTGTTTCTTAGGTTTATCATTTGCAGATTTGGTTCTTGGCAAAGTTTATTATGGCCTTACTGCTTTGATCTTAGGCATCTTTATTGTAGTTTTTATTTCATTTGTACCCTCTTCATCTCTGCCTATTCATGTTTAAAGTCTCATATCCCTTTTTAAAACTTTTGTCTTGAGAAAAACTGATGGTGTTTTTATAAAATTGTTTCCTGAATTCCTACTCCATTCCATGGCTGCTGTCCTCACATGACCCACCAACGATAACCCTAAACTCAGTGCAGTTACAACCGCCCAGGGCCACATAGTGAATGTGCCACCCAGCCCCAAAGCCTGTGTCCCCCACCCCCACCCCGCTTCCACTACCTTGTTCTCTTTATTTCTGGAACAAGCACAGTTTCTAGCACACGTTTGAATTCACTCATTCACATGCACAGGCCTAGTTCCCGAGAGGGAGACGGGCAACAACAAAACCAACGAGAACATTATTTAGAGCGTTTTGGAAAAAATAAAGTAGAAAAAGGTGATAGGAAGTACCTGAGTGGTGCCTGAGTGGGGTGGTATTACTCCAAGAAGTTACATTTGAATGAAGCCTGGAAACAAAGAGGTGATTTATTTTTACTTATTTATTTATTTTTATCCTCACCCGAGGACATTTTTGCATTTATCTTCAGATAGAGCGGGAGGGAAAGAGGGAAGATGAGAGAGAGAGAGAGAGAAACATCGATGTGAGAGGGACACATCAAGTGGTCTCCTCCCACATAACCCTGACCAGGACCAGGGATCTAACCACAACCAAGGCACATGCCCTTGACCTGAATCGAACCTGCAACCCTTTGGTTCAAAGGCCAGTGCTGTAACTGCTGAGCCAAACCGGCCAGGGCTGTTTGTTTTTTTAATCAGATGACCATTGAGTTACAATGTTACCACAAATCAAATGCTTTTTATTTTTTATTTTTTTTTATTCTCACCCGAGGACATTTTTTGTTCAAGTACAGTGGGAGGAAGAGAGAGAAAGAGAGAGAGAGAGAGAAACATCGATGTGAAAGGGACACATCGAGTGGCTGCCACCCGCACGACCGACCAGGGCCGGGGACAAACTGCAACCGAGGTACATGCCCTTAGCGGGAACCGAACCCGGGTCTCTCGGGACCGCAGGCTGATGCTCTAACCGCTGAGCCAAACCGGCCAGGGCTCAAATGCTTTTTAAAAAATACTTTATACTTCAGTTTCTTTATTTAGGACACCATGGTTGTAACTCACATGTGTCTCCACCACCTGACTCTGAGCCCTCTGGGAACGTGTTGAACCCAATGTCCCTGGCAGAGTGCATGCGGGAAATAGGCATTTGGTTCGTCGATTTATTCAGCCCACTCTGCTGCACACTGGGTGTCGTCTAGGTATCGGCATATGGTAGAGGGAAACCAGCAGAACTACACTCTGGCAGAGGAGAGACTGAACGAATATATACATGAAGGAAAATTATGCAAAAATTACAGTCACATCGAACCCAGAAATTAGAGAGCTTTGACTTTGTGTATGCTAAATTGCTTTAAGAACTTCTGAGAGGAAACAGATTTTTGTATTACTGTATTTTTTCAGGGGAATTACTTAATAATGGCCCAATTGTTCTGTTCCTAGCTAAGATGTTCTTAATTAATGTTTCTCCAAATGCAGAAAACTGGTTATTGAAAGTATCTTCAACTCTCAGCTTGAGTTATAGCTTTACAAATTATTCTTTCTAATGTTAAAACTATTACTAGAGAAATATCTGTTATCAATCAATGTAACTTCCTGAGAATAACATCTGTATGCAGTAAACATAATTCAATGTGTAAAAAGTGTTTACATGTATTTGAATGTGTTGTGTGGGGTGGGTGTAATTTCAGGACTCACAGCTGGTCATAGAAGCTTATAAATCAGGGTTTGAGCCTCCCGGAGACATCGAATTTGAGGATTACACTCAGCCGATGAAGCGCACCGTGTCGGAAAACAGCCTTTCAAATTCCAGAGAGGGCAAAGCAGAGCCCAAATTCGGTGGCAAATCCAAAGGAAAGTTATGGCCGTTCATCAAGAAAAACAAGGTACTGATGGTTGGTAGCTGGTATGAAATGAGTTTGATCAAGTGTGCAGATTTTGACTTTATCTTTTAGTCTTAAAAAACATAAAACTAGGATTCTAAACCTGTAGCTTCAGAATGAAAACAAAAAACGGGTGTGCTATATTATTTTAAAACAGTATTTCTCTTTGGTGGTGGTACCTTCGCCATGGCCATTTGTCTGATTTCAGATGCACTATCACCTATACTGTGTCACCCGCACTAACAGACTCCTGCCCTCGGCCATTTCCCATCATGCCTCTCACTCCTTAGACTGCTGGTTACGTGGGCTGGGAGAAGGGGCCTGGGTGCAGAACTCCTGTAACCATTTACAGCACATCTAATTGAAATTGTTTCCATGGGTTAACAACTTGGTTTTGAATTCATGCTAACATGCGGATCCATGAACATTTTTCGTTTTCTTTTCATAGTGTAATACGTAGGTGCATGATGGCATTAACCTGGGCATAAAATATGATCGAGGCGACATGACTGCTTTCCCCTTAGAGGACTTTACTCTTTAATTTTAAAAAAACTGTCTTGCTATTTTCACAACCCTAGCATTTAAGGTCTTTCATTTTCTCCCACCAAGCTGTGTAAGTTTAGGCGGTTTCAAGATACTTACCCTCCTGGCTTACGCCGGTTTAGAGTAGCCGATTGGGACTGTCGCCTGCTTGGGAAGGTTTGCATGTGCTGCTTGTCAGAAACTTCTTGCTCTTCTTCTGTTGCATTACTTACTAAAATCCCACTCTCATCATACCCTTCATTCTGACCTGTTCTCCATGTTTTCTTTTGGACCATGGCCTAAATATGTAATTGTTTGTGTTGTACTTGCTTTGGATTTCAAATATTATTTGATGCTTATTTTTGTTTTGTGTCTTTATCTTCTTGTTTCTGATTTTTACTGTCACTGCTCCATCTCTTACACGTAGCTTATGTCCCTTTTAACATCCCCCCATCAGCCTCCCCCTCCCCCCCCTGCCTCTGCCTCACCCTCTGCTGTTCCCAACGGCCCCCAGTCTCCCAAGCAGCAAAAGGAACCCCTCTCCCATCGCTTCAACGAGTTCATGACCTCCAAACCCAAAATCCACTGCTTCAGGAGCCTAAAGCGAGGGGTAAGTTCTGCTCGGAATCCTGTCTCTCTCGTGCGCTTTGGTTGCATGTTTTGTTTTGCATAACTTATTTTATTTGTGAATGAACTCATTGTGTTTTCCCATAACATAGAACAATCCGGACCTGTGATTCACGATGCGCAGTTAGAAAGAGGAGGCAGATAGAAGGGAGGCAGGATGGGTGGCAGGAGCCAGCCAACCCAGAGCTTTCTGTCTTTTAGTACAGTCCAGAACTTTTCACCATTTCCCCTTTTAAAATATCCAAGTTATTAATGTTTTACCAAAAAAAAAAAAAAAAAAAAAGGAAACTTAGATTCAGTTTCTAAAGTTAGCACCCTGTGAGGTAAGGAATTACAAGTCACTGAATAGTCATAAAATCTTTGCTTAATAATTGATTACTGAAATAATGTGAGTGTAATGAGGACACCGCTCCCTGAGCTCTGCCTCGGGGTTCGAAGGGGCGACATGGCGTACAGGGGTTTCTTCAGCTATTCTGGTAAACTTGGAAAAGTTCTGAGAAATGTCTGACTTGAAAAGGCCTAATTATCTAATTAAAAGGTGACATGAAACAGCCGCTGACATTGAGTGCTTGTAACGTGCAAGCCTCTGTTCTACACACTGACTTTTTTTTTAATATGGTTTATTGATTGTTTTTGAAAGAGAGGAAGGGAGAGAGAGAGAGAGAGAAACATCGATGAGAGAGAAACATCGATTGGCTGCCTCCTGCACACCCTCTGCCGGGGATGGAGCCCACAATCCGGGAGTGTGCCCTGACTGGGAATCGAACCCTGACCTCTCAGTCCATGGGATGACGCTCAGTCCACTGAGCCACATTGGCCGGGCAACTTTTTTCAACCACTCTAGGAACCAAGGTAATCAGGGTATTTTACTGGAAAATGGGAAAACTGAGGCATAAAAAGATAAAGCTAGGAAGATGGGCAGCCAGGAGTTAAAGCCAGGGAGCCTGTTCACAGTCCGGGATTCTGTGAGTCCACGTTGAGAGGGACTCTGTTCCAACACAGGTGACTCACTGTGGGTGTACTTAGACTCGGGTGGGCCAGTCTAATTACAACTGTATGTGCTTAAGTCCTGGTGACCCAGAGTAGACAGCAGTTTGAAGACAGATTGGACTAAAGTAATAGGTAGAACCTCTGTAAATCTCAGTTGTCAGTCTCGCCTAAGCTGCCCCCAAATGCTCTTTAAAATGAATAATGAAGTATGGTTATCCAGAGGAAACGTCTGGTGCCTTAGTACACCCAGAAAGGGCTCTGTAACCGCCCCGGGGCCGCGGCACAGCTTCGTGGGATGTGTTCCTATGCAAACACAGGCCCTGCTTCCCCTTCTCGTGTGGGAAAGAGTGCAAATATGTAATAGGTAACTGAGCTGTTCCCTCCGATTTTACTTGGTTATTTGTTTTAATCCTCACCTGAGAATATTTTCCCATTGATGTTCAGATAGAGTGGGAGAGAGGGAGGGAGGGGGAGAGAGAAACATCAATGTGAGAGAGACACATCGAGTGGTTGCCTCCTAAAAGACCCTGACCGGGCCGATGATCAAACTGCAACCAAGGCACATGCACTTGACCAGAACTGAATCCAAGACTCTTTGGCCCCCGGACTAATGCTCTTAACTGCTGAGTCAAACTGGCCAGGGCTAAGCTGTTCCCCCTTTTTTTTTTTTAATCCTCACCCAAGGACATTTCTGCATCTGTCCTCAGAGCGGGAGGGAGAGTGAGAGGAAGAGAGAGAGAGAAACATCGATGTGAGAGAGACACATCAAGTGGTTGCCACCCACATAACCCCAACCAGGGCCAGGGACAAACTGCAACTGAGGTACGTGCCCTTAGCGGGGACCGAACCCAGGACTCTCTGGTCCATAGGCTGACACTCTAACCGCTGAGCCAAACTGGCCAGGACTAAGCTGTTCCCTTTTAAAATAAGGAACAAAGACCCCCATTATTTTATATGCAGAGGCCCATTAATGAGGGAATCACAGAGTTTTATGTGAAGAATACAGTTGGTGGGACTGTCTTGTTTTAAGGTTACCCGCCATATCAGGTTAAGAATTGGACATTTAATTCCCTGGATATTTCAGGACAGCCATTGTTAGGAGTCAAAACCCTGCTTCACAAGCAGGTGATGGGTCATGCTGAGCCTAATGACTAGACCCGGAGTGTGCTGGCCTCCAGAGCTCCCCGTAAGTCAGTGAACCCATCTCTGCCACTTCCGAGACCTTTGTGGAACCCACAGTTACCGTATTTCCAGTAAATGCCTCTGCACTGTCCTTTGGAATGCAGGATGCTCACTAGTGGTGACGTTTACCTGTGGGCTCTGTAGCCGCCGCATTCTCTCGACACCAGTCTGCTGGCCGCAAGCGGTTTCTTTCCGTCACCATGTTCTCCCAGTGTTTAGGGAAAGACCAAAGAATGTCAGCGATCAATAGGTGTAAGAAACAAATATAACTCTTAGAAACAAAAAAGAATGCAATGGGAACCTGGTTATTTTGCTGATTTAGGACCTCTCCCCTCTTTTTTTTTTTTTAACCATAATTAGCAAAATGAATTTTATTTCTTACCCCTCAAATCTTTGTTCAGCAAACCTCTGTTAAAAAATGTTCTAAACAGTGAGTGTGTTTTCTTTCATATACACACACTAAAAACATTAGTAAATAAATAGAAACATATTTTTTTGATTCTCTTATGTTAGTTGGGATCAACTTTGATGTCCCTTCCTTCAGGAAATAGTGCAAAAAAGGGAAGAAAATGAAAGAAAGGAAAGGAAAAAAATACATCACAGAAGTGAGATTAGGAAATTCAAAACAAAAAACGAATCTGAAGTTTGGGGAAATAAATTTGATTTTAAAGCAGTTTCAAAACAGAAGGCACGTGGTTTACCGGATCCATGACTAAAATGATACAGTCCTTGCTACAATTTTATTTTAAGGGTGAAAACTGTGCCAAAGTATCCCAGGAAGATAACAAATCTGTGATGTCAGTATGTCTCATGTTTGCAGCTTTCGGACCCAGATATGAATAATTTGTTTCTATTATCAGAATGTATAAATCTTGTGCAAACACTTCTTAGCTGATTTTGTTTCTTAGTAATTAAACAGGATACAATATTTTTTGTTGTAAATTGGTGACACTTGAAAGAAAATGTTATTTCATTAAACATCTTTAAGGATCGGCATGCCATTTGAGAATTAACCATTATTTCATCGATACCCTAGGTAGTCTGTTCTCAATTTACAATCTACAAAGTGAAATTTTATTGTCTTAAATTAGGACTTCTTTTTTTCCGGTCTGAGCAAAGGATTTCTAAATTTAAAATACGGACCTATTTGCCCCATGTTTTAGAGTTAATTGTATGGGAAAATGCTATCAAAGTTGCTCAAATAATTTTTAAAATCCTTACCCATTGTTTGTCAGATGTTACAGTCTTATGGTTATTTCAACTTTATTCATTTTATCTTGTTCTCTTGCTGATTATTGGCAGACTCAGTCTTTCTGTTTTCACAAAGAACTCATGAAGAGGACGATAGGGAAACCCACGTATGCTTTTGAAGCTAGGGACTATGTTGTAAGTTCACTGTGACAGCCAGGTCATACAGTCACGGCACAGGCACTAACCCCATTGACGCCACCAAGACTGGGGACCCAGGTGCACTCTGTCATGCTTCCACCGAAAAATGAAATTGTCAATTGAGATACCCGGACACAGGGGTGGGGGAAAGCCTAATTGTATAAATTCAACCCCAGGCTACTTCATCCGGGAAACTTGCATGGAAAAAGGAACCAAACTTCCCAATAGCAATCAAACTTCCTAAAAATGTCAGTAAGTGGAGCTTGGTTTTTTTCCCTTTCCGATGATGGTGA